GGTATTAGGTCGAAACAAAAACATGGGGGGGGTGGGGGGGATGTTAACGTTCATTGTGACTGCTAGGTTCTCTTGTAGTTCCGCACATACGTCATGCTACGCTACTGCTAGGTTCTCTTGCACTTCCACACATACGTCATGCTACGCTAGGATCAATGAAGAACGGCAATCTGCCACGAAAAATTGCCACTCATGCGGCACGCGATCAATAGCACCAAACATTCGAACAATTCATCGAAACTCAACATGGTTCCGAAAGAAGTTTAATTATGATGTTCAAAAAAACACACAACTTTATTTCTCTTTCCAACAAATCTCAAGTTCAAAAACCATGCTATTTTTTCCGCGGGATCCCGCGAAAAAAACATGTTCGCCAAACATGAACCTGGTTCAAACAAACATCCCTGATCATGCAAACATCTTGCGAATGCTACTGTAAAACCAATGAAAAACACTGAAAATACCATGATATTTCCTCCTCCTAAACGGCTGCGGATGGACATACATGATCTTAACATATGTTACCCTTCTGCAAACTCATTCCGACTCACGGCAAACCCCCCGGGGAAACCCAACATGTTGGATGGCGTGGACACACGAGTTGTTCTCCAACTTAGTTTCAACGCAAACGTGACACATGACGTGTTCTTGAACCAAGTTTGAACTAGGATGAACTAGGCACATATCGCTGGTTCTTGAACTTAGTTTGCACTAGGCACATGATATATGTTCTGAAACTAAATTGAATGTTGCTGTTTTTTTTTGTAGGGACAGAAGCTTTTTGCTTGAGCCTTTGTTTGTCGTTCAAGGTTGCCTCCGACCGATGTCAATCCTGTCCACGGCCGAATAGTTGTGATGTGTTTGAAGCTACAGAAAGGACAGTAGAAATTAAATGACATGATAATAGCGCCAAAATATAGGATGGGCTATAGCCCTGGTACCATCTGGTACCCTAGGGAACATAAGAACAGCTGTTTGATTTATTCATGATCGTCTCTCCAAATATGGTATTACAGGTTTTGATCCATCCACACAGCCAAGTGCACGGAACCCTGCGAGGGTATCACAAAATGCGTCACTTTTACATGCGGCCGAAGTCACACCCGTGACCTCATTGCTTTTGAACCGCTCATTGACAGCACGCATAGGCCAGGCTACCAAGGGTCCAAATGGATGGTTCTGTGGAATTATTGGACCGCTTGGTGGGACCGCAACAAAACTGCAGCTAAGGTGGGTTCCGCCTTGGTTACCAAGCTGGAAAACTCAGAATGGAGGCAGAACTTGCGGGCTGAAGTGGCTGCAACGGAGAAGAAGGAGATGGAGAAGAAAGGCGTGAGTTACATGGAAGAGATGACATCGAAAAGGCTATTGGTGAGTTGACAATTTGATATCGCTGGGGTTCCGTTTGATCCATTGCTGTACTCTGAACAAATAATCCGTTTTGTACATATATATATATACACATATTATACTAGTTCAGAAGCATGTTTCAAGGACCACGCCCCAGCAAAATCACACTTGCCAGCTCGGCACAAATCCCATTCCCGGTGGGTTCAGAGCCAGTTGTGTCACAAGTTTTGTGCTTCGGATCGTCGGATCATTGGATCAATTCGAGTCGACTCGATGCGGAAGTTTGAGAACCATTTTTTCTACAGGATATTTTTGAAATATATGATCTATGATCTATGTATATGTTTGAAATATATGATTTGAATTGATTTGATCTATATGATTTGAATTGATTTGATCTATATGATTGCTATGTCCATGCCTTGTCCTAGAGTAGCTTCTCCCTCGAGAATTTGGGTCACGAACCTGGAGGCATCAACCAGCAAGACTTGAACGAGGCAGCTTTCAACATGGGAATTCAGCCCACAAACTTTGGGCAAGGCTAAACTGGGCCACTCGGATTTGCAGTGGGCTATGGGATCCATCAGGAAAAAGCACCAGGCACTTCTGATGACAACTGTGGGAAACTGGGAGTTCAACTCAGTTGAGCTTGTGCCATTTGAAATCTCATTGCTGGCAGCCAGACCTCCCCGGCCCCTGTTTTTTTACCTTTCTCTCTTTGAATCTTTCGCCAACTGCTCATTCCTCGCTCTCAAAGCCACACCTTGTGACCGGCCCAGCACCTTGGCCTCTAAGGCTCGCGGGGCCACAAGCAGTGAGATTGCAGGATTTTCCAGTTGCCAACCAGCTCGCTTCCGAAGTCGGTGGAGCCGGTGGAGTGGTGGAGTTCTGTTGGCAACGCGCGACTCCGCGCGACTGGATACGAAGAGAAAAAGGGGGAGAGTCGTCGACTTTGTGACTTTTGTCGTGTTTGGGTCCGGAGGGAGCTGTTAGGAGCTTAGTTATATGTTATATGAGTTATATCCATATTGCCGACGACAAATGACCAGTTGGCTCTGCGAATGGACTTTCCCAAACACATGATAGTGTGTGTTTTTCAAACTGGATGAGGTCCAGATATTGTGATATTGCGCTTTCCAAGTCTCTCATCACTGGTACTGCCTTCCTTTCGTTTCTTTTTGGACTTCAGGTTGCTTGGTAGAAGGCATGACTCTGGGGGTGAATACTTAAATACCGGGCAATATGAACGGGATATATATATATATATGGTATGTCATGGCCAATTTGATTTGGAACAATCTGTGATGTCGAAATCACCAGTTGGACAAAGGATTTATTCCAAATCCCTGAGCCCTGTCCAATTACCATTTCCGTAGTTCTGGGATCGAAACGGTCTGTCGCCAGGTCAGATGACTTCAGTGCCATTGGCTGAGGTTGGAATCGACGTTCTGACGCTGTGATTGCTAGGTCACTCTAAGTCTCATCGTTGGTAGTCAATGTGGAGATGATATAAGAATAATGTGGGTAAAACAATAATAAACTATCCCCCCAAATCACCATAAATAGTTTGTATAAAACATTCCCAGTCATTGAGTCATGGGTTGTTTATGACATTGTTTTACCCACATTATATAAGATGCAGTCTGCAACCTAAAGCCTACCAAGTTTGGCACGAAACACCTAGTCTTCCCTCTCTCGGGTGTTGTTTCCACAGATGGACATGAGCTAGCAAAGGGCACATGCCAACGTGAGAATAGGTCCAGATGCTGGATGGTTATCAAGAAATCCCATCCATGGTTGTGGAGTCATTAGCAAAGTTTTTCATGCACATGTGTGTATATATATATATTCTAGTACCCCACAGATGCAGAACAGGTCAAATCTATTTTAGGATTGGGGTGTTGGAACTTCTCTATTTTTTTTTGGGAGACTGAGACTACAGAAGCTATTTGTTGCCCGTCCTCTCAAGGGCCACTGGTTCGTTCATGTGCCGCAGGATGACATGAGAATCTGCCCAGACTGGTACCTGTCCAGTATTTCCTGCAGCGCTGCGAGCAGGGTCTGGAAGTTTGAAAGTCGAAGCTCTGGACTTTAACTCTCAAAATACCCATGTCTTCAAAGGTTCATCTGAATATGTTATTGTGTTGTTTCTTGAAAGGTTTTTTTTGTGTTTCACGACTCCACACGGGTGTCTTTTTCAATGCAGGATATACCATCTATCGCCACTTTAGAAAATGATGGAAAACTGGAACAATCATCGAAGTTGAGGTGGCCTGTTTTCAGACTAACCCACATTTAAGTGATTCATGTTTTGAGACGACTGTACTTCCTTTCAGCATGAAAAAAACATAGACCCACAGACATCCATAGAACATCATAGACATAAACGACCTAGACCGAAAAATGTGTTTTTGGGGGTACCGTGAGGGGGAAGTGAACATCCCTGTCTGTTATAAAGTAGATATGTATACAAATTGTATCTACACACAATCTATATATTCTCTTCGTGCTTGGATGTTGGGTTAACATGTTTTGACTCATGTTTCCAAGTTGAAGCTCTGCAAGACTTCGAGCCTACTCGCAGAAACAGATGCAACTCATGTGCTGTGGCTGTTGTTTTTACACTTGCGCCATTTTGAGTGCATCCCTTTCCCAAGAAAAGCCTGTCGACGAAACTGTGGTGTGAAATGTGGCTCTTGCTGCGGCTGTCAATCCCGTTCAGCGCAGTCTGAGCTGAGCAATTGCAGCTTTGTACTAGTAGGACATAGTTACATAGTTGAATGGTTGTTTTGGATGGGAATGGAATCTTTACTGCTGAAAAAACAAGCTCCAAATGTAGCTGAGACTTTTTTTCAGGCCTCTCGTTTGCCAGGAGATCCTTCTACCTATGCATGGAAACCTGGTGAATTATTCAAAGAGTCGTGGCCACTGGTCATTTCTTAACGCACCTGGTGCGCCACTGGTTTTCCAATGGAAGCAGCTTCATCAGGTCATCTTGAATCTAACGCTCCATATTCCTGCACCTGTCGTCGACACTGTCGGGAATCCGCTTCTTGGGCAAAAAAAACGCTATGTCCGCGCTGCCAAAGTGCGCGTGTCACGCCTTGCAAAGCAAGACCGGTAAAGATTGCGTAGTTTGGTGTTGGAAAACGTGCCAGACTTGACTTGGGTGTTTATACCAGCCAATACAGCTAACTACTACGTGGTGTTTAAAGACTGGTTACACTGGTCCTTTCGGCTGAACTCCACCAAAACCCTGCGCTGTCACCTCCAATTGGAAACCATCAGCAGGTGATTCCTGCAGATATCTGCCACGGATAGCGAAGTCCGTGGGTTTGTCTGAAAGGGGAAAGCCCAAAGTGCAGTCCTGTCCTCATCAGATTTTCTGGAATGAAATCGCCATGTATCCAGGAGATTCATGGAATTTTATATGCATGGATACCCTCTGGTAATTTAACATAGCTATGGAAAATCACCATTTTTCATGGGAAAATCCACTATAAATAGCCATGTTCAATAGCTATGTTAGTCATTACCAGAGGGTATACTATGATATACTCCATTTCATGGCAATTTCATCTATAATTTGGTGGAATTAGACACAGAGACCATGGAAAGATGGCATTTTTGACCAATACATCCGCCCACGCAGTCCGTGTCGGTGCACCTTCCTGGCACCAACAACTACCTGGATGGATATCAGGTGTGGGTTTGAAAAAACCAGGCAGTTCTGATACCCCCAAATATAGGATTTATGGGTTTTTATATGTTTTTATGAGATTTGGTGGGATTTCAGCTTAGATCCATCTGATGGCCACAAATTTCGCACTAAGTTCAATCATGTTCATTCCATAGATGTCCCAAAAAAAACAATTGGTTGGTGAATAGAGGGTTTTTGACCGGTAAGAACCAATTGCACAACCCAATGGCTAGATAGTAATTAGCAACGCGACCCCAAACGACCTCAACGGTCTTTTCGTTCCGAAGATCCCTAGTTGTTGTGACCGAACTGGAACTGGTTCCAATCTGTTTCTTTGAGAGTCTGGTGGCCACATGGTCTCTAAATGAAGCAAAAATCCATAATCCACTGTGGAAATGCTGGGATACCACCAGGCTATTACAGTCTGCCAGCGTGCAATACCCTCTGAGGTGGAGAATTTCGATGTTGCGATGGAGCATACGGACAGCCCAAAGCTGAAACATGCCAGGATGCCCCAGTCCTCCCCAGTCCTCCCCAGCCCTCCCCAAAGGTATCACCAGGATTCACCAGGATCTGACTCCAAGCCGTGAACGCTGGGGTGTTTGGGGTGTGACGTGGGTGACGTGGCGACGTGAGGTCGTTTCATGCCCTGTTGGCATTACCAATCCAACAGACAGCTCCTGTTCCACTTACGTGCTGGACTTCTATCGGGCACGCCGGGGCGCGGCAACACGCTGAGACATGGGATAGATGACCTGAGGTGAAGGCGGTAAAGGTCAATGTTGCATGAAGGTCATAGGGGTTTCTACTGTTTCTACTGTTTCTAGACCTTGACTTTGCTCTAAAGCTGCAGCTTTGCAGTAGAACTATCGGCAGATGAAACGAGGACTTCTCAGACCGCAGTGTTTCCAAAGAGCTTATGCCAAAAACTGTCAGTGATCATGTCCTTTTGTTGATACATTTCTTCAAGGGTACATTTATCAGCGCCTCTTCGGATCACTGGCAGCTAGGAAATATTCCGAATATTCCTATGGTGAGGTGGTGCCCTACAAAAATAACTTCTGCCCGATAGAGATGACCCTGTCTTTTCGGCCAGGCTGCGCCCGATATCGCCACCTTGGAATCCATGGCCATGAGCTCTAAAAGGCCGTTGATGCTGTTTTGGACGAGCTGCCAGATGTTAGCGTTTTGATATTTGGAGCTTCATAGAAAAAGAGGGCAGGGACCCTAGATTGAGGTACGGAGAGAGCAGTTGACTCCCCTGTAGACTGGTGAATGGTCGGTCTTTAGGATGGTGCTCAGATTCAGAAGCTGGTTTTGGGTATGTCATGAGCACCATCAACATACCATAGCATTTATTTGAAATTTTACCCTGAAAACGGCACATCCTCCAGAATTGCTGCACCATCGAGAGCTGGATGTGGTGGAGGAGTAGGTTGATTTGTATTGAAACTCTATAGTTATACTGTATAGTCTCAGTCCTGGAGTAAGCTGAAGGATTTCCTTCCGACATGTCCCAGATTTCGTTTTTGTCAACATCTTCACAACACGCGACTGCCAGTGTCATCGTCGTGGAGCCAGCCTTCAATTCTGGTACGTCGAGCTATTCCACCACCGCCGGTAACACTCAGCATGGTTGCAATGGTGGGTGCTCTAACATAGCAGTCTCTGCTGCGACCATTGCAACTAGAATCATGGAATTATGGAGCTCTTCGAGAGCTGCGTGCTCCGTTTTTTTTGATTTTAATATGGCTTTTGCAAAACTAGATTGAGATATAGACCATGATATTTTGGTTGTTTTGGGCAACGATTCCATTTTGGAACTGCTTGGACACCTATGTTCTGGTTGGTAGTTCATTTTTTTTGACATTTGTTTCGGATTATATAATACCCAGTTCTGGGGGGATGGGAATAATGAATCCATTTTCAGTGGCTTCAGATTCAGCCATTGTTTATGTCTGGATTATGTCTGGATTCCCATGTTTCATGGGATTTTTATTAGCGATGCCTCATATATCCTCATATTCATCCATATTAATCCATGTTAATCCATATATTCATCCATATTAATCCATGTTAATCCATATATTAATCCCATGTTTTTTTCCTATGGCACAGTCATGAGACCATGGATGAAATCGGATTGCGCTCCGCTCGAAGGTGGAGATTGAAAACCCCTTCTCCATTTCCGCGCGAACTCTGCAGTGGGTGACTCCAAGTCTCCGATGGCGGAGATTTTTTGGTGAAAAGCTATGAGTGGCTCCTCTTTTCTTGGGATAGCTATGGATATATGGTGGCTCCAAACTCATATCTATGGGGGGGAAGGATTGGCCTACTTGATCCATAGGATGAATCGTTTTTTTCGATGTGTGCTCAAAAAGAATCTGCTGGAGTTGCATAGTATCCATTGGATTTCCCGAGAACTTTCAGGAAACGGACGAAGTTTGAAGGCAAAATCCGCTACCAATGTTCGCATTTGTGTCAGAATGACATGACTCTTTTTAAGCCCAAAAGTTTACTTTTTTATTTGGAATTGATTGGCAAGTCACGAACATCATCGAACATCCTAGATGGCATAAGAAATGCCAATCCAGGGAATCCAGCTACAAGCTTTAGTATCCTCTCAGACGATCCTGTACCAACGGCCACAGTGAACAGAATTTAGGTCAGACTCAAAACTCGAGTTCATGACTCAACTAGAAGTTGTTTTCTGGTATCTCAGCTTAAATCTCTATGCGACATCCACGAGCCAATGCCGGTTGTGTCTTGATCCAAAACGGACACCAGAAATTCTACCAATGGGGTTGATTGTTTTGAACGGCCTTGAACCAAAGGAACTTGTGTGCTCAAGCCAACACCAACGACCCATAATTTCTTTTCCAAGCCATAGCCACCACCAGATGCTGGATGCAGAGGACATTTTTCGCAATCTGTACCTTTTCAAGAGAGTCATGTTTCGCTGGTATCATAATAAAACTAAATAAAAATCAATAAATCACCCAACAAAAATCGAAGTTCAGATGGTTCAGATCATGTTTCGGATGGCTGATGGCTTCATTTTTTCTGGAATTTTTAGCCCTTCTATCCTGTGAGGCCGAAGGGACGTGCAGGGATCCAAGCACCTGAAGGGTTCGAGGGCTCAGGTGGCGATTTTGGGGCCAAGTGGATGATCCAAATCAGCTTTGAATGATTGGGATAATACTAGTCAGTGACCTGATGATGGTTAATGATGGTTAATGATGGTTAATGATGGTTAATGATGATGATGATGATGATGATGATGATGGGATAATCATTGGAGAAATCACGTGTCTTTCTGGCCTTGCAGTCGATTCATAACATTGGCCTTTCTAGATTTCTTGGGGATGAGTTCAGACCGCCGGAGAAAATCACCAGCGAAATTCGTGTTTGCCGACCATAACGATGGCCGATCCCGATAACACGACGAAATCGCTGAGTCTTATTGAGTCTTAGCCATCAGTGATTGACTTTGGAAGGATCAAGAAGCCAACCCTCTGGGGGTAGAGACATCATCCCAAGAGTCTTTTTAAGGCAAAAACAGTACAGTAAACGATATAAACGTACTTTCACCTGGCGCGAAATCAACGTTTAGGACAAGCAAAAGAAGCGAATTTCTCGTCTTTGGTGCCTCTGGGGATCCTCCAACCATTCGGATGTCGCAGCGAACACGGCTGAATTCACTTGTAGCAGATTTCAAGTGTCGCAGAAATATGTGGATTTCAACATGTTTCAACATGTTTCAACCACTTGCTGTCCAAAGTTTTTTTTTTTTAATAGCTATGTTTGGTGCCAAGGATGGCTGGGCAGTCCCACAATTTAGCTGCCAAACCCAGGGCCGGTCTCACCGCCGAACTCAACGGCTGCGACAAAGCAGAGCAGTCGCAAGCGGTGTGGGCAGGGGAACCAAGCTGTTTTTTTCAGAGGGGCCCCCAAATCATGTAAGTTGAGCTATGAAACATACCTTGGTTGATTGGTTAATATGTTGGGACTTATACTAGCTAATAATTTTTGGGGATCATGATAAGCCATCGGATTGGGAAACCGAAATAACATCAATGGCAAATTTTGAGGCAAGCTGCAGCTTCCAAACGCCCAAAGGTGAGGTATCAGATGGGGGCAGTCTGCAGTCTGAAAAATAGGGTACCCCAAAATATCCCGTTGATCAATGTGTATCATCACATTTCCCAAATTTCCGTTCTGAGACCGGCATAATTTTTGGCTGAAGATCAGCAGCTAGTCATGTCACCACCCAGGAATTTCCTGGATTCAAGTCCACTGGTGTTTTCACCTTTGCCTCTGAGTTGCATTGGGATGGGGAGCAATGGTGTTGGACACCGGCAGAAACACTGGGTGAGACACCGAAACAAATCGACCAATGAGGAGGTTTCAGACACATTCTTTCAGCTTGACCCTTTGATACTGAAAGAGACAACTTCTGTGGCTCCTTTGGTTCCCAATTTATGACGACTGGATCCAAAAACGGGCCCTCTTCGAAATTGGCGTGTCTGAAAGTGGCGACAAAACCAACAAAATTCTAAACTTCATGTGATTTAATGTGGAATGATGATCAACCTTTTGTTTTTTTTCACTAGAACTACTTTCAGACAAACCCAAATACGGAGCTAATTTACCAAGCAACTACTCCATGCCCAAGGAGAAGACTGTGCTCTTTGGAATCCTGTTGGATATGTATTAGCAAACATATTTAATCAGCTGGTAAACTCGTGAGCCAGTTTTCCAAAGCGTCATTGATGCCAGGTGTAAAAACTCCAGATAACTGATTGGAGAATAGAAGAATAGACATGTGGCAGTGGGTCAAAACCAATAGTACCCCTGTAGTTCACATCAAAATTTAGCTGGGATTTATGGATGTTCATTCCCCTAAACATGGTATTTTCATAGGTATTGATCCATAGCCATGTAGCTATTACTATGACAACTGGTGGATTGCCAATTTCAATCTTTGTAACGGGCCCGACCAACGGGGCTCCTTGATCCGAGACACATCCCATGGATGGGATTCAGCAGATCATCAAAAACACAGCCAGGTTTTTTCAAAGGTGGCAACTGAACATCCGAAAATAAATGGAGCTTTCGTTCGCTAGCACTATGGAACTGCTGTCTTTTCACCAAGCCATAAAATGGCAAATTTTTGCCCAGTTGAAAATGGCACCAGTTAGCCCCAGTTACCAGTTTTTGCCCAGTTTTTGCCCATTTTCACCTCTGCAATGGCGGCCTTGCGCTTGTCATATTTGCCTTTCCAAGCCATGGCGGAGACGACTCGCTTCCTGTTTCGCTATGGTGGAGTCAAGTACCAAGACGAGGTGAACGAAGTCAGTTGAGGGCTGGGGATGGCTGCAATTGGATAGCCATGGCAACAATATGCAACAATCATTTGATCATTTGAAAGAGGGAAACTCATGATTAAGATATATTAAAAGCTATTAAGATACAAAAAGCACGGGATTTTGATATATTACAGGTGCTGATACCACTGGGGTGATATGATCAGTGAATCAACTGGATTGGACTTTGTGTGCCTATGCCAAATATTTTTACCATTGTCCTGTCTTTACTTGGGCAGTTCTGAGATGTGCCTCGTGTAAGCCAAAGGTCAGACAAGAGCCGCTCAGTTTGCTATGGAAGCCATGGTCGATTATTGATAATTTACCGATAAAGAATGGTGATTTTCCATAGCTATCTCGAATAACCAGAGGATACCCTTGGTCAAACTAGCATAGATGTGGAAAACTCATGGTTTCCCATCGGGAAATTGTCTACAAATGGTGGCTTTCCACATCTTTTTGTACATCAAGATGAAGTACCTGGCCCACTATACAGACTCACGTGTATGATATCTGTTGGTATTGATGATAAATATACGATCATTGTATGAATGATTTGTTTGTATAGATCAGAAAAAAAAACAACCGTGCGCTCGGAGGTGGTTTGGGGCCACGTTTTTTCCGAGCGTCGGAGAGAAGGCGAGCGTCTGAGGTATGCCACTGCTGAGATCATAGGGGTGATATGATTACCCTCTGGTAATTTAACGTAGCGAACTGGAAAGATCCACCATGCTATTGATGGGAAAATCCACTATTTCGACTGGGCCATTTTCAATAGCTATGTTAAATTACCAGAGGGTATATCTTTTGATAAACTGAGACCCACGATTTGTGAGGTGAATACCCCTTCGACAAGGTGCCAGTACTCTACATCGATGGCATGGCAGTGGCACAAAGCCGCTTTTTGATGAATTGAGGGCGACCTCCTAGGCTTAGCATGATCGTTATCATGGTGTTGCATATAAAATTCATGCAAACGGATAATTGGGGGTTAGAAGATGTTGGAAGCAATGTGACAAGATGATCGCCTCCCTCTTTCGTAACCCCATTTTGGGGGCTCCGAAAGGCAGTTCAACAGCCATGACCCCAAAATTGGATGGCTATTTTTAAACGTGAACAGAATCTTTAAACCTATTCCCATTTCTTTGAGTGTGGTTTTGGCCTGCTCTTTTTGGACAATTCAAGAGCTTGGCGCTTGCAATGCTTGCAAGGATTGGTTCAATCTAGCATCCAATCAAAAGAGTATGTGTGTCGATGACTAGAGCCATGGTTAATGAAGAAAATGGACCCAGACAACACTATTTAAAAGTGTGAAGTCTTTACGCTTTTAGCTGTTCCGAGTTACCACGCGTCATTTAAGAATTGTCTGATTCCTAATCTGGTGAGAGCATGGAATGGTTCCCAATACCTTTAGCACGCTACTGCTGTCGCACTATTCTTCTCAAGTGGCGAGTGTGTCAGATAGGGACTCTAATTTTTATGTCCGAATGATGGGTTTCCTGTAAGCAACGGATGACGTGGCAAAAACATGTAGCTTTCCACAGCTCGGATTTTTTTTGACCACGAAGGAAAACAAATCCTTCATCCGCTTCATCCCATCTCATTTGACAACTTCATATCAGGAAGCCTCCGATTTTCCGATCCACAGCCGTTCTAAAGCGCAATGGTGGGTCTTGTGGCATCCCAAAAACACCCAAAAACCATCTTGAGACACCTGGAACTCAAAGAAAGCACCCCCTGAAGCGGCGCGTTGCGAGGTGGTTCCATTGCCCGTTTCGCGGCCAAATTGGCTGCCTGTTACCCAGCGGATCCGGCGCGCTGTGCTTTGAACGACGCAGTCTTTGAGATGGCTCAGGCGACTGCTGTGGCATGTGGCATGCTGTGATTGGCAAAAACTGATATATCTGATATTATTTGATATTGTTTGATCAGATGGAGATAGATGATGCCCTTGCAGTGAAATTCTGACTTTTTAAAGAAATATATATACTTTTTCTGGTCGAAATAAGTAATCAACACTTCAAGTGGAATTTCATGGTCGTCTCAAACTGCTACCCTTGGAGCGGTTTTTACTGGGGGTCGGAGCTAAGTCAGCTAAGTCAGCTAAGTATCAAGAAAGAGGTGGCAGTATCCGTTCGGTTGACGCCAGACAAGATCAAGCCCGAGGAGCTGTGCACCATCAATCCGATGATCAACTGCTACACGGGACGGGAGTTTGAACAAGTGACTTGGTGAAGAATTGACAGTTCTACTCGTGGTTTGTGAAGGAAAAGGATCGTTTGAAGAATGTTTGAAGAACTTCACGAGAGGAAAAGGCAGCTTGCAAGTGGCTGTAAGTGGCTGTAAGTGTGAACTTGGGACCCATGATGTCCAAGATTTGTGAACCTCACAGCGTCCCGACCACCACATGTTCATTTTATGGGGCTGGTTTCCCCAGAGGCTGGGACAAAGTGAATTTTCATGTAGGAGCTGAGGTGAAACGCTGGTACTTTGGACATCTTCCGCAGATTCTCGGCGTTTTTGTTGGGCGAATTCTTCACAAAGGGGGTTTTGGCCATTGGGCGAAAGGGTCAAGTTGGGTCAAGGTGCCGCTGCAACGTCAGGCACTTGGCGAATCTGGATGCCCAACTGGAGGCTGCCACCAGAAGTGAGGGCAGCTTTTTTGGAGGCACTGACGGGTGGCTTGAGATGACTTGAAGGGCTACAGCGGCTACAGCGGCTGTCCAGGCTCCGGACCCAGTCATGCGGACTTCAACGTCTATCATCACTTGGCCAATGCCAGGCACAGCCAGAATGTTGCCCCAACTATTCCAGGATAGTGGATCGATAATCCTATGTCTATTATCAACTGATAGTGGATTGCTCTTCTTGAGCTTGTTTGTTCATTGTTACATTGGAAGCGTATGATGATGTCTCATTGATGTCCCATTGATGTCCCATTTACTGGTGCATTCTCATCATACCATGCACTTCCAGATCTTCCAGCGCCAGGTTGGTGGAGCCAGAATGTATCCCGGAAAGCTACAAGCTGTGCCACTGGATGGAGCTTCTTGGCGGCACTTTGGTGGGGTGCACTTTAACGTTCTTCAACGTCAGGTGACCACAAGAGAACAATTCAATAGAATTTATATACAATTTAGACCCAAGAAATTCTAACATATTCGAACCAACTAACATGATCTAACTTTGGTTGTTGGTGAACGAAATGAACGACACACACACACAAAATGGTGCTGTCCTCACCTGTGACATGGCTTCAAGGTTGATGGAGTCGCTGCCCAGCATGAAGCAGTACCTGGAGGAGGGGACAGCTGGACATTGGCTTTCCCTTATGTGTCTTCAGTGCTTGAAATATCCAGGATCCTCCTGGTCAATAGTGAGAAACTATGTTTAGACCCATCCGGGATCCATTCAGAAATGCAAAAAAAAGAGTGATGAAACACGATATGGAATATTTTGACACAACTGGTATCTTCAGGAAATACTTGAAATACTCAAAGAATGATGAAATGTGATGAATACTTTAGCAATCGGCCGATGCAAGGAGCGGCCCCAATTGGTGGGCATTGGAACAGATCCGGGCCTGGTGGATAAGGTCGGCTCTGAGGGCCATGGAACCAAGTTGGGCTACCAATCGACCAAGACAAAACATCTATTGTGAAATTGCTCATTTCACTGTAATACATAAAAATAATACAGTCATACATATTTGGAAATTATATAAACCATGGAGTCTTTTGGGGATAATTTTGAGCCATATCATCCCATACAGTCACCAAGCACTGCCTGTCAGGCAGGTCGCTTCCTTTCCCAGAGAGATCCTGAAGGTAGAGCGATACTCGTGGATGGTTGCTTCATCTTCGAATGAAGCGCCATGTGTGTCATTTGTGGTGCCGAACAGAAGTTGGCAAATTTCTCAACTACAAAAATTTGGTTCTTTTCGCCGAAAAGGCGAAAACACCTGTTTTAGAGGACGGTTTTAGTGCCTCCTGCTAAATGATCTTTGCCGAAACAAAACAGAGCGGAATGGCATCCCCGTGGGGCGAGCATGGCTAGGAACTCACTATGGTCGAGCTGGGAAAATCACCGCTTACTGGAGGGGATTTTCCATACTTTCAAATGCCAGTTTCCCATTCAATCGAAATTAAACCACAATGAAATCCCCATTAAGTAAATCAAATCCTATGAAATACCATTCATTTAAATCCCATTAAATCCCATTAAATCCCATTAAATCCCATTAAATCCCATTAAATCCCATTAAATCCCATTAAATCCCATTAAGTTGATTAAAATCCCATTAAATCCCCTTAAATCCCATTAATACATTAAGTTAATTAAAATCCCATTAAGTCCTATTAAATTCCATTGTAAGTTAATTAAAATCCCATTAAAGCCCATTACGAACTATATCCAAGCATACACCTGGGCTGAGGACATTTGCGCCGTTGCGCCGGACAACATCCACGAGACGTGGTATTCCTTGAAGGCGCGGTGAGCCCGCGGAGCCTGCGGAGCCTGCTCAGCATTTCACGGCGGGCTCAGCAAGGGTTGAAGTACTATAAACCAACATCTGACCATAGCAAAAGGAAGAGATTGATATATTGAATATATTTGAATATATTATTTGAATATATTTGATATGGATTGCATTCCCAAATAGAGGCAGTCAACGTGAAAGCATAAGATGCAGGCAGTCAAATTGAAGAAAACCTTCACAACTGTTCCCACTCAAATGGAATCAACCAAACTCAAAAGTCGGTTCTTCAAAATTGGTGCCAAAACAAGGGGCGGGAGGAAATTTAGACAATTTCTGCGTTATACCCTCTCAACACCTGTGTACAGTATTGTACAGTTATATTTGCCTTGAAATTCATTCTTAGAAATACTTTTATTGGTAAAACAGATAGCTGCCTCGTTGTTGAAGGACACGGATATCACCCAAGTAAAGTCAGACTGCGCACCCCGCGGGAGCTAGAGGCAATTGCTGATGATTTGGAGACAACATGGCACGAAAGATTGCATCAATCATTTACGTCTTTTTGGGTGAAGAAAGAACATCTTGAAAAATCCCAATCTCATTATATATAGATTTGATGTTATTTTCCTCATCTCAATTCCATTTCAACTCTTGCCACATTCACCACATCTCATTTTGCCTTCGCTTGTTCAATTTCATGTCATCACATAACTTTTTTTTTCTCATCCCTTATTCGTATTGTCTCATCTCATCTTTTCATCCACCTGTTCTTTCTCGTGGCATTCCATGACGATGTCATCTCCCCTCGTTTCAGCATCTTACAGCAGTTTATGTCAAGCAGTTGACCGGGTAACCCGGGTAACCCGGGTAACCAGGACTGACGAATAGAAGGAAGGTCTGCAGAAATCACAACAAACACAGCACCATAGAACTCTACAGCACAAAAACATACTGTAAGTTGCAAGAGTGACTTCAAAACTACAGTAACTAGCACAACATGTTCAAAGAACACAATTTTCCTGGTTTGGTAGCCCCAAGAAAGTCGACTAGAGAATGGACAAACCGCTTTGGTTTGCACTGTTTTGCGCTGTCACAGTGAAAAACATGCGTAAACACCAAACTTTCAGCGTGTGAGGGTGTCCAAAAATCCACTTTCAGCGTGTGAGAGTGTCCAAAAATCCACTATTTTAAGTTATGTTAATCTATTTTAGAGTTTTGTGAAAGACACGTTGAAATGCGAGACAAACATCGGTCAAACAACGAGCAACATAATGCCATTTACAGTTTTTTTGTTTTTGCGGTCAAGGTCAACAAGCTGCGTAAACACCACACTTTCTTCGTCTGAAACTGTCCAAAACACCGCTATTTACAAGGTCTTAGTCTTTAATTTGGATTTTCCGGAAGATGTGTAAATATCAGCGCTTTTTGCGTTTGACTTGCAAAGACATTGCAATTTAAGAGTTTACTTGGTGGTGCCTTCATGAAAACCGCTGCAATTAAACGTCTTAGTGTAGTTGCATGCATGCGAATGTCCGCGCAAATGGGTACTTTGCAGCAGCTTTTTCAATGAACAACTAGGGTGGTGCCTGAGCGACAATGTCAAACCCGACCCAAATTGCCTCAAACAATCATACTCGAACCATGTGATATTAGAAAGTACATGTTGCAGATGTTTGTATCTTCCTGTTGTGGGTGCGCATGAAGACTGTGAACTGTGCACTGTGAATCCTACGAATCATTTCCTTGGACTTATCAGTTGCCGCGCCAGGTGAATGTAACAAGACACTACAGCACCAGACTGAGAAGCCTTGCTATTGGCACGCTCATGGGACAAGCGACGGGCAGCTGTAGTTGGGGGAAGAGGTACAGTATTCGAGTTGAAGACACATCACTTCAAGTGAATGTTCCCGCGCGGGAACTCCGCTCAAACTTGTGAACTGATGGTTATTACTTGGGCAAACGCATCTTGGACCATAGCTGCTGGCCATTTTCGAACATTCTACGTGGAAGCTTCTGGACTGGGCAATAAGCATAGATGACGTGAGGTACAACATGTTGGGCAACACTTGGTGTATGGATGTATATTGGACCCCAAATAACTAGAAGGATCTTAGGGCGTGCATCGTCGCAGTTGGCAAAGAAATGGAGCCTGCTTTCGACCCTGAAGTTCAGTCGGGGGCTGAATGAGACAACGACAGGAGGTCTCAGTAAGTCAACGGGGGCAGAGTTGTAGCGTTTTTAGTGGCGGATCTGTAGGTCAGAGTGGTTTGGTGCTGGATGGTCCACGTATGTTTATATGACCTATATGGCCTATATGTGCTTTCCGGTTGTGCTTATGAAACCAACAGGCCGCGGTTTCTTCACTTAGGGGAGCGCTTGGCACTGCAACAATTTTGATGACTGAAACAATAGGTGGCCGCTATCAAGGTGGTCGCAGATATAATCTTGAGCTTTTTGGTTCTTGCATTGTCTTCTATCACATTCTATCAACATATGTTACGATTGTATTATTATACCAGTGGTTGGAAACGATGTTTGAACGCACTTTTTGTGGAAACGATGTTTGAATCCTTTCGCCACCGGCAACATGTTTAGACGAGAGCTGAAAGGGGACGGCGATGACCACCTGTCGCATTTGGACTGGTGGAGTCCTGTAGGATGCCATGTGGCGGAAAAACCATCTCGTAGTCATTGTGTTTTCATTGTCCCAGTATGCAGATTGAAAACGGACTGCCAACGTGCGCCAATGCTGCCAATGATCTACTGGGATATCAGGGGTTCTCAAAAAGCCACAATTCTGCGAAACGAGGCAGTACACAGTGCACATCGATGCCAAAGAAAAGGAGGCACCAAATGGTGGTGACAGCTCTCTAGCTCAGTGATGTGAACAATCCCATGAACCAACCATGACCGGGGTTCATGTACCCTCTGGTTATGACTAACATAGCTATGGAAAATCACCATTTTTAATAGGCAAACCATCTATAAATGGGTCATTTTCCATGGCTATGTTAAGTAACCAGAGGGTACATCGTCTCAAATAGGGCTTTTAATCCGTCCCAATAAGCCTCGATGGGGGATGGCTTATTCTTGGCTTTGCCACATTACTCACCCAGTTCTGTCCGAGCGCATGGTGTCCACAATACTTGCAGCGTTGGTGTCCAGTCCTCACTCAAATAAGCAAACACGCACATGCTCACACTCCCGCGCATGAATTCATACGTTCATCAGTTTGTTTCACAGTTGCAGACGGATTAGGTTGCGAATGGCCGATCAAGTATAACAACTATGATAATTAATATAGTCTGTTAATCATGGCCAATAATACCAATATTAGTACTGATATCGGATTTTCACGATTCAAAATTTGTGGGGAAAAATCGTGGTTTTTCCAGTAATGCTGAACTGTTTTGAATAGAGGCACTCTTGGTGCCAGCGTTTGTTTGTCAACGCCTTGATGCGTGGTGCTAGACCCACTGGAGCAGATGGTTTATTTGTTGAAGTGCCAAAGCGCGCCTTGCTGCCAGCGTTACTCCTGTAGAATGCTACAAAATCTACACGACTATATCGATTTGATCCACCAAAAATGCATCCAAATTATCAAGTCGTCAGATATAGTTTTGATATGCTTTGATGATTTGATGACAATGCAAACACCAAATACGTATATATATATATATATATTGCTTCTCTCTCTCTCTCTCTATGCATGCTGTTTATATGCATTGCACATACAGAGCAGTTTCATGAAAGTAATGCTATCAGCTGATAGAACATGCAGTGTAGACAAATAACTAACGTATATACACACATACGTCATTTCTACAGGTCCATTTTTGCTATGCCCCTGAATGGGGCCTCGCAATGGACTGTGCTGGCGTAAGAGACTGTCGATCCAACGGTACTCTCCGGTCTCAATGTTTTTTTTTCGTGAATCATGATGAATCATGTATAACATAACAAAAAATCGGGTATATATACCCCAAATATTGGGGTATAATTGCCTAAAGAGTTACTGTTAGAAGCAATGCCTAATTATATATCATGTCCATACGCTCCATAGATCTTCGATTTTTCCCAGCACATTGAATTTTCCATTGATCTTCAATTTTCCAGCACAGAGATTTTCCATAGATCTTCAATTTGATGTGAGGAAATTCCGTGGCATTTTGAACCAAGTGCCGCAGATGTTTCAGGTGGATCTTCAATTGAAGGCGGAAGATGATGAGGCTGCCATCAAGGTCGATGCAGACAAGGCGGGTCTGGCGGATGGATATGTGTAGCACATATAAAATACAGATCATATGAATATCATATAAATATCATATAAATATCATATGAATATCACATAAATCACTTGAATAATTATCATATCAGGTGATGTGAACTTGTGGTTTGAGCTGGTTGGACATTGTGACGAAGTGGAAGATTGTGGATCCCGAAGCACGAGGTAGATTAAACCAAACGCAAAGTTCGGGCCAAAGATCCTAACTGTGTGCTGCATTTGGTAGACTTACGGTAGACTTACCTAAGTTAGTGGCGCAGAGGTTGAAACAGCTTCGGATGTCTAAACACGTTGAAACTGTCACATGTCCCAGCCATTGGGAGCTACAGTCCTTGACATGTCAGCTCGCAGACCACCCACGGCAGCGACAGCATTGCCACCACCGTGAAGATGCATGACAATGAACACCTTGAGGCGTGAAATCCGGAAATTCCAAGATGTCCATCTTGGACACTAAAACGAGATAAACGAGCCACGAAAAAAACCTAAAGGGCCTCAACTTGCCACGAAATGCCACCCATGTACCGAGAAATCAACCCGAATCCGGGATGCTGGTGATGTGCAGAATTCCGATTCATTGGTACGAACTAACCAGGTACTCGTATGCAGAAATAAGGCATTTTTCAACTTTCACCTGGAGTATGATTTGATGAATTGCTAGTTGTCAAAAACATGATGCAAAATCAATGCTCGGACCACCGGCTCAGAGTATGCCAGGTGCCCACACATAATTGTGTTTGCATCCCCGATCCTCGATATATATCTGAACCATCACTAATGCTGTGGGGAAACACATGGAAACACCCCAATTTACCCGAGGCACTCTCAAAACATTATATAAATTGCAGGTCATGCTGTTACTCCTGAAAATTCAGGTAGGGGACCTGTGCGTCATTGCACAAGGCATCCTGAATGCCAACACCCTAAAACCGTAAAACCCTAAAACCGTAAGACGCTAAATTCAAATCCCTACACCCTAAACCCCAAAAATCGTGGACAAGAATCAAAGGAAACCCTAAATCCATCTATCCATCTAATCCCCGAATGGCGCCTAAAACCTCCGGTGAACCCGTGAAACTCTGGCGAAACTTTGGCAGGTTGGTGAACCACCACAGTGGTCAAGATCTGTCAGTGTGCAATTGGAGCTGCTTGGCAGATCAGGGACCCGGGGACTTTGCCGCGCCGATTTCGGTGCCGACTGTTGGACACAAAAAAAATCGGGATCGGCAAGTTGGCGCTGGCATTTTGTGAATGATGTAGCCGTTGAGTTCAGTGGTTTCCAAAGGCGGAAAGCGAGTGACACGTATTGCCAGGAGCAATGAGATACTGTGAATTGGGAGACCTATTTGGCCGAATTTTATGTCAAAAAATTTAAGTCATGTTTTTCCTATTTAAGGATGATTTAAGTATGACCTATTTGTCATCCAGCCACATCGTAGATTCTTTGATGTTAAATTTGTCATCGCCATCGCCATAATCCAGGTCAGCCGATGGCGAAAAGACCCTGACATACTTGGCAGGAAACCCAGATGCTGGCGGATGACTCTGGAAAAGATGGGAAGCCACATGTGTTCCGGAAGTTCCGTAGGTATGTTTTTCATTTTTTTTTCAAATGTGAGATCAAGAAACTTGGCGGGATAGGAGTACCAAAGACATGAATTTCCGGATTTCAAATTTCAATAGGGACGTGTTCTTTTTTACCGATCAGACATCATCACCATGCCGAATCCTCCACGTGCAGAATCCCGGTGTTCGAAACTGGAGGATTCAGCACCAGAAACCACTGGAACTGAGGGGTAATTACTGTAGCCCTTTGACAGAAGCCAATTAATTACATATGTGAGTTTGACCTGTCTAATGTATATTTTGTATAGCCAAGTGATCACATGCCCCCGTTGACATTTGGCTTTAGGGCCCTTGAGTCATACCGCGCTGCCGTGGTAAAAGTTGGGCACTAACGATCCCGTTTCCAATTCAGATTGGTAGCGGAGCGGGTGACGACCCGCATCCGGTGGTACGTCAGTGACCCAGGGGCCCCTTTGTGAATTTGAGTCTGGTAACTTTGGGAATCAACTGAACTTCGAGTGTGTCGTGGTTCGGAAATCTGTCTGACCCTGACCAGGGCAGGCACTTGTTAACGTTTTTCCTTGTTCGACTCCGAACGGAGCGAGCATCATGTCGATCAATGGCCTTCGTTTCAGCCAGGAGCGCCATTCGTCGGCACCACTTGAGACAAAGAGTGGATCGTACATCTATGCAGGTGATGCGGCGAACTTTCATGATTGGCAGTTCAGGACTCTCCTTCGGATTCGTCTTTATGAGCAACAATTGGAGGAGATGAGTAAGCCTGCGGATCCCGTTGGGACCACAGCAACAGAGCCTGCCGCAGAAGATGCAGATGAGTATGCTACTTTTCCAGATTTGTCGGGTGCAACTCAAGCAGCCCAGCCTACATCAGCAGTCTCGACTCCGAAGTCTGGAGCGAGCCGAAAATCCTCGAAGTCCGGCAAGCAGAAGACAGATGTTGATCGTGGACCATTGGTCAACAAGGTGATTGAAGGACTGAGAGGGGATGCTTTCTCAATAGCTAGGGATCTTGGACTTGAAGTGTTGTCCGAACCTGGTGGCTTAGTGAAACTTGTGGGTGAGATCAAATCCCATGTGTTTCCAAGAGCTCGTGAGGAAGCAAAGGAACTTTTTCGTGCAGGACAGAAGCAAGGTGGTCCTTTGTCTCGCCAACCAGGCGAACCCATGCTTTCCTATGTTCAGAGGAGACGACGTTGGTGGCATATGCTATGCGAGTTGGATGACACAATGGTGTTTTCAGACAGCTTGAGGACAGAGTTGATGTTGGAGTTGAGTGGACTCAATCGACAAGAGATCCTCGTTGTGAAGGCTTGTGCAGACACTAAGGATTTTGAAGTGGCACCCGCTTGCGAGAAGGGTCACGATCCTGGACAGGACGTGGGAATCCTCAACAGTTTGGCAAATCAACAGGCAAGGGTTATGGCAAAGGCAAACCTTCTTCGAAGGGATCGTATTCCCAAGCAGCTTATGCAGCCTACCCCGATGATGGGGAGGATCATGCAGAATCTTGGGATGAAACTGCGAATCAATCCTGGGAGGATGATTCATATGTTGGCATGCTTGGTGACATTGCAGAAGAGGAGCCAGGAAACCTAGAAGGTGACAACGAATTTGATTACTTTGACGATGTCGATGAGTACGAAGCAGTTGCATTGAACAGCTTGCTTGAACTTGAAGGTGCAGAAGACGATCGACAAGCAGGAGACGCCATCCAGCTACAACTTGCTGCTTTCACCGCAATGGGGAAAGCAGGTGGCAAGGGCAAATCCTTCGGGAAGCCCAAAGGAAAGGGGAAAGGAAAGATCGTGAAGTCCAACCTCACGATCGATCAGAGGAGACAGAAGCTCACAGAGCTGAAGTCAAAGAGCAAATGTTTGAGATGCGGCACCATAGGGCACTGGGCCGGTGACCCGGAATGTAAATTCCCGGGGTCCAAAACCGGAGCCCCTGGAAAGCCAGCCCCAAAGCCCGCAGCTCACTTTGCCGACATGAGTGATTCTTCGGATGAAGATGGTGTGACTTTGACGGCTTCACCTGACCGTGACAGAGATGCAGTTGCTATGATGGCAGTTCGACAAGCGAAGCCTAGCAGCAGACCTTCACGTGCAGCAGCATCCAGCAGCAACGTTGGCTTGATTTCCCGGGATCTCGATGTTACAATGAGACCCGAGGACCATGGGTGCATCTTTCCTGTTGGACAGTTCAAGGGTTTGTCTTTTTGGAATGTGTTGTTTGAACAGACAGGGTACTATCATCATGCCAAGAAACATACCCCCAAGAGTCCATACTATGTCACATGGTTGAATTGGGTTGACAAGTACTTTGTGGTTGGTGCTGATGGGATTCACTTGCGCGAAGTCCCTGTTGAGCATGTCGAGCACCGAGATTTGCTGGTGACTCGGGAGACTGGCCGGAAGAAACCCCCAAATCCACCTTTGCCGAACAAGTGTCAAGAATGTCGTGAGTTTACAAAACAGGGTTCTACGGGGTACACCATCAGGAAGACCTGTCTTGTGTGCGGTCATTCCGAAACAACAAGACGTGACATGGTACCGTTGATGTCCCCTGAAAATTGCCCTCATGACGACACAGATTTTCGGGGATCCAGCAAATCAACACACCGTACTTTCTGCAAGAAGTGTTGCACGTTCATTGATGAAGCTCCTATGCAGATTCGTAAGGAGCGTGTTGCAATTGCCAAGAAGGTTGAAACAGCATCAGTTCGAGCAGTCCCCATTGTTGAATCATTGGTTGAAGAATCGGATGGATTGAATCCAGTCCAGTTGGAAGAGTTGTTGCCCCTGTTTGCCACTCTTGTTACCGAAACCTGTCAATCTGAGGTCATGACCCGTGCACGTCTACATGAACTACTCCATCAAGCCATCAATGACGTGACAGAGGAAGAGGACAGTTTTTCTCTTGTCAATGAAGATGGGCACGGTGACCCCTCGGGCAGGGAGTTAGCTGGGTACGTTGGCATTTGTTTGCATGGAAGTGACATTCAATACCCCCAAGACTTGGTTTACATGAACTATGAAACTGTTGACATTGCCAGGTCATCTCATGTCTTTGCAGTGTTGGATGAAGGTTGCAACAGCACTTGTCATAGCAAAGCCTGGGCAGTCGATGCAGAAGCACGACTGGCCCGATTGGGTTACAGCATGCCATTGAAGGATGACGGTTGTAAGAGTTTTGCTGGTCTGGGAAGTGGTAGTACCAAGACCGAAGGTGTGAGATCTATTCCTTTTTCGCTGCTGCTTCCAGACGGGAACATGAATGGGGAGTTGGATTCATATCAAGTATCAACAGGCAACAGTCCATTGCTTCTTTCATTGCATGCGCAAACCAAATTAGGCCTAGTGAAGGACCTAGCAAAAGGAGTGGTTTCCATCAAAGATCAACCATTGAATATCAAGAGGTGTTCAAAATCAGGTTTACTTGTGATGAACTTGACTGAAGGGTTGACCAACATCAACAACACACCGCCAAATGAACTTCCCCAAATCCCAACGTGTCACAGAAAGTACAACATTGCATACACAGCATCCACATCGGAAGTTGCCATGGCCGACCATGACATGTGTGGTTTTCATTCGAGGGACTATGACATCTTGCAGACGAAGTTGAATGAGGAACTGCGCAGTGACAGGAAGGTGATCATCATGACTCGTGGGCGTAGATTTCAACAACATGCGTGCAGAACTAGCAGGAACACTTTGAGCATCAACTGTGAGGATATTTACGATCCTGATCAGGACGTAAACCTTAGGTCGCATGTGGGTTGGCATCATGGAATCCTTGAGACGCTGAGCAAGGTGGACAGGTTCATCCAACATCTCAACAACATCCTGGAGTTCGTCACTCAGCAGGAGGCTGACAGCAAAGTGTTGGTGGACCTAGAGCGCAAGTGAGGCCGCCACAGGTCAGTGGGACAAGGATTTGCTGCCTTCAGGTGTCTCAAAGTCCTTGGTTATGACGTTGTTCTCATTCATGCATCATCCTGGAAGTGGGGCGAGATGCGTTGTGGTGGTGTTTGCCATGGTTGTCAAGACATGGCTGCGAGCTTGGGACAAATTCGACATTGGATCCCGAACATGTCAAGGTTGGCACGATCACGAGGCAGTGTGAGTTCAGGCCGTGACGTGCGTGACGCTCCAGCTGATGATGCTTCAGGTGAACATTCATCTCATCCTACATCAGATCATCCCACTGCAGGTCATCCTACATCAGATCAACTTGATGAGATTCGACGTTTGGTACAAGGGCTTGCAACTGACGTTGGACATCTTCGGACAGAACAGGTTGAGATCAAAAGGATGGCCGAAACAGGACGAAGATCAAGGAGCCCTTTGCGTCGACGAAGATTGCCGACGCCACCCTCACCTCCAAGGCGCCGGAGATCCCCGAGCTTCAGCCGCAAGAAGCTGCCACCTTGGAGGCATGCACAAGCATCCAGGGGAAGGAGCTTGTGAAGAGATCGAAGCCCAACCTCGAGACCAGCTCCATCAAGGCCAATTTCTTCGAGACCTGCCCCAAGGAGTCCAGATCACCCACCTCCACATATCTCAGATGTACCAGGGGCCGATGACGGACCCCGAGGGGCCGATGACGGACCCCGATCAACGTTGCCACAACAATCTCGAGAACCTCCCAATGATCGCGATGAGCTTGAGCGACTGATCCGAAACAATTTGGCATCAGATGGACCGTTTGACAACAAGAACGTGTCAGTGACAACATTGGACGGTGAGCTCCTTAGCGAAGTTGTGTCTTTTTGCATCCGTGAGGGTAACAGGGATCGGCTCTTTTGGATTTGCAAAGGTGGCGAAGATCCACTGGTGGAAGGAGTTCGAATGAACGTCCTGATTCGAGATCATATCCGGCCCAATCGGATTATCAAGGTCTCGAATGGCATCAAGCACTGGAAGC